CCAGCTACCCAACATGTAGTGTATCCCCCAAGAAAGCAACCTGCTAAAAAGGAACTAAATTATTTTTATAAACTTCTCACATTTTCAAGTGCACGGAAAAAACTCTTTTAGGTGTTATTTTCTGCTCATCTCATAAGAAATACCAGGCTATCAAGTTTCGTTTGTTTGGGTTTTAAGTGTTCTTGTTTGAGGACATACAGTTGAAAGTACTTTGTGAAGGAAATCACAGTCCATATTGCTTTTAGTTACAGACAGACAGGAACAGTTTTCAGATCCTTACCCTTCGATAGCAGCAAATAATAAAAACCCACTTCCTTGCTCCAGCCAAGCTTTTTATTTCTTTCTACAATATAACTTGAGTGTATCCAGTGTGAACTGGAGGGAGTGCATATGCTAAGTAACTCAAGAAGACCCCACAAAAGCTCAGGGTTGTGCTGCAGCCCTCAGTTAACAGAACACAGGACCTCAATGCAACATAAAAACAACAGGGAAAAAAAAAGTGTCATTTCTAACAACAGGAGAGCTGACCAGTAAATACTGAATTCATTCACTACTGCATACATAAATAGTTTTCAAGAAGTCCCTGCACTGTTGTTAGAAGAGAGATCAAAAACATATTCATTTACTGTTCTAATAAAAAAAAAAAAATCATTAGAAAGATGTACCTTTGGCTAGTAAGCGTCTGTGAGTATTGGTCCAAATTACTGATTCATAAGAAGCAAAAGTTTAAAACTAGATGGTGTATTTTAGGTGGGTACATGTGCTCAGCCCTCACAATTATTAACAGCTACCACTCAAGCACATGAAGAAAAACGCAGCTCTTAAATACCTGTTTTTCAAACCAGCATGGAATATCTCACCTTGTCCATTTCACTTATACAGTGCATATCAGCTTCAAGTCCACGGGCACCTGCTTGCTCCCGTATTTCCTCAGCTATGGCTTTTGCCTGCCCCTTTTGTGTTGCATAGAGGAGCAGAAACCTCCTTTTTAAATCACAGCACATTTCCCAAAACAGAGCGCTTTTTTTTTTTTTTTTTTAAATAAAGACACTGCAGGGGAAACAAGAAGAAAAACAAGAGTGAATTTATTGCATGCAGAACAGCAAGATTTTGTTTTGCTTAATAGATTAAAAAGAGATACTTTAAAGAATAGCAGTATCGGTGTTTAAGTTGGAAATGAGGCACCTACTCTGAAGAGAAGCCATTTCTTACAACCAAGCTTTGCAGGCCAGGTTGCGAAGGACTCGTGGTATTGGTCATATGTGCACTGCCTTGATTTTGCAGTAATATTACAATATGCCCAGTATCAAGAGTCTAGTTTGCAAACAATACAATAGATAACCTAGTTTCATGAAAAGAAACACTATTTTTATTACGAGAGTTGTATTTTCCACTTTAAGTCAGTGACTGCTTTGGTCACTTTTCTGAGATGTATTTGAAAACAAAACAAAACATAGACCTGGTGAAGTCAAAATACAATGCCTGAGAAAAAAGATAAATTAATATTCTCAGTTTCTTCTTTTCTGAAATCAGTATTTTTTGCCTGAATGCCTTTACACTTTACTGTCCATTATGACTATATTTTAGAACACAAACATTGTTTTTCATTTCATATTTCAAAAAGGAGCTTCTTACACAAGTGCAACTACAGAATTGACTATTTGGGGTTTTTTCTCCTAAAAATAAGAAAACATCTTAGAGAAATCTGCTGAAAATGCCACTCCCTCATGAAGTCTTGCAAGCAGTAGGATGAATGAGATGCATATCCTTATCCTTTCACCTGTCCCATGGAAGTTTGAATGTGAGAACTTTTCTTTCATGATTTTGACACAGACAGAACACAACAGATGTAAAGGCAACTTCAAGAAGCAGTGAATAAGAGAGACAAGCAGAATGTCTCTCATGTGTATATTACAAAGCAATCTTCTGTCAATATTTTGTTGCTGCTAGGGAGCTGCAGTAGAACTCAAATACCTAGAATTACAACCGATCAATTTTCAGTTCCCAACTTCAGATTTTTTTCACGTGCCTGGGCCCAGTTTGCTGTACTCCACCTATTGCTCCCACACAGATTCAGCTACAGAAAGCATTCAGTGTCCTAGCCACACACACTGATTTACGGAAACCTGTGGCTAAGTAATTTGAGGCATATCTTTTTCCCGTTTCTCTCATGGGAAAACAAACACAGCTCAACTGCGTAAGAATACTGCACTCTATTGATATGGCATGATATGTCTCCCCACAGTATTGTGGAAGGTTTCTCCTATTAGAATTGGCTTTTTTTAATAGCATACATGTAAATCAAAAGTGGCAAAACTAAGTGATAGCTTCTTAAGAGTACAGTGCCTGTACCACACATGAATTCCATGAAAAATGTAACTACTGGAAAATTTTGAGGCTTTCATTGTATTTTGTTCTACTACATTTTCCATTATAGTTTTCACTTTCATTTGATTACATTATACTACCTAAAAATATTAATAATTACCTTAACAGTCACTTTAAATAAATTCATTTAAATAACTGGCTTCATGTGCATGTGCACAGAAGAAGACGCATAGGCCAAAACAATCCACAAAATTATTTTTCACCCTCCTTTTCCGAAAGAAATACAAAGAAATTTGATGACATGCAAATTATAATGATTCATATGAAATAGTTTAAATACAGTTTAAATACTCTCAGATCCCTGTAGTAATACAGATTCATCCTAGTCACGTGCTATGTTTTCACCCTAATTGTTCTTTTCTCAGCAGGTGGCAATGCCTGACTATAAACAGAGAAAAACAATAAAGATGAAGCAGCATTTCATTACTACATTCCTTCTTATACCTCAGAAAGGGAGAAAGATAATCAGTTTTCCACTGGGACCATACCATAGCACAGAAGTCTTCTATACACAAAAAGCTGAGGGATAAGCTGCCAACATTATGGCCAGGGGATTACCAAGAGACTTCAAACAAGAGTCAGCTTGGGAAGATGTACAAGAGAAGCAAGAAAATTGGCGTAGTAGGGGGAGAGGAGAGGGCAAGAGAAAAAACAGCAGTCACGATGTGGTTTGACATGGCCAGGTGTTGCCCTAACAGCATGATGACCTCTGCCTAGGCCAGGCAGAGCAGCCTCCCCATAAGACACTGTGAGCTGCTTCCACTCCAGCTAGTACAGTAACAATAAAGGGTGCAAAAAACAGCTACCCACATCTTGGCTGCATGTATGTGAACTTGCAGGGAGCTTTCTGACTGGTGTGTGGACTAGCAGACTGCACAGATGCAAAAGTTAGAGCACAGAAGGTGTGTGTGAATGAAAGAACCCACAGGGCCAGAAGAGGCGATCGTGCTTGAGATGCATTCCTCCCGAGAGAGGGAACTGTGTGTGTGCGTAACAGTGCGAATGTGTACTTGCGGGAAGGGGGGAGGCCACAACTAGACAATTCCTTGGAATTAGATACAGAGGGCTGTTTAAATATTTGTAGGCATTTATTAACATTTTATAAGTGCCTAGTATCGTATCTGTTGCGTTGTTGCTATTGATCTTGAATATATAGTTCAATTAACCAATTAAACAGTAGTTAAATTAACTGCCTGACACTTAATTATGTCATTAATAGATCAATAAACTCCTTCGATCCTGATTCAATTTAAACTACACAAGCTGAGGAGTTTCTCCCTGTGACAGCATCTTCTCCCTGTTGTCAACCAGAAGAGCTTCATGCACAAACTGATGAAGCGATGCCTGCTAAAAGAAAGGAAAATTAATGATGCCTACCTGCAGATGAACACAATCATAAACCAGGAACACACTTGCACTCAGATGAATATACTGCCCACATTGCTCTTGCTTTGCTGCACTGTACACTCTTCAAAGATGATGTGCCACTTCCACTTATGTGATATGAGTTTAACTGAAATAAAGAGGGGAAAAAATGGTAATTCTTGACTACCGAGCTTTCTAGAGAATCTCCCTAACTTTAATAGCATTACCACGCCAGCAGCCTTTAACATGCCAATGTGTTGGCAGTCACACGTCAAAAAGCAAAACCACGTTTAAGCCGGGAAAACAACCCAGGACTTGCTGGCTCAAACCAGCACTTAACGTGAAACTAGGGATGACGTTTAAAATTATAGCTCGTCTGATCAAGCGGTCAGAAAACTCAGATGAACAGTCCACACAAGATTAACGGGGCGTCCATCAGCTCCGTAAGTCCACACACGGTAGGAGCAAACAAGCCATCTGTGAGTGCCAGCCACACAGTTTTGCTGGGCCAGACGTGCTGGCCCCAGCGATCACGTAGCTGTACTTTAAGGCCAGACTGCCTGCTCTTCACGTACCTGCTCTGTCAAAATCATGTCAAACTGCGCGGCCGCGGACAGGACAAAACCGCAAGAAACCTCTGCAGCAGCTTTACGCGCTTCTGCGTGGCCTCACACCGGGTTGCGGGACCGTGCTTTCAGAGCCACGAAGCCATTCCGGTGTCATTTCCTTCAGCAGCCAGCGCCTTGCTCAGAATCACTTTCCCTCTACGACCAAGACAAACACAAAAACTTCAGTGCGGTACCCGCCGCGGCCCAGGGCTCACCTCCCGCCCGCAGAACCGCGGCTCGGCCAACCGGCACCCCGCTGCCAAGGCGGGGAAAGCCGTCCCTGCCGAAAGAAGGCGATTTCAGGGAGCCAGGGCCAGGTCCGCCCCGCGGCCTTCAACGCCGCTACAGCACCAGAAGCCTCACAGAGAGAGACGGGCCGTGTGTGTGTGTCCCCGGCTTCCCGCCAAGCCGTCCCTCAGAGCGCGTACCCGCCGCCGGCCTGCGGGGACGGCAGTACTCGGGCTGAAGGACGCGCTTCTGACCCGGGCGCACGCAGCCGGCTCCCGCGCTCCGCCGCGCCTCCGGCAACGGCGAGGAGGAGGAGGAGGAGGAGGAGGAGGAGGAGGAGGCGGCGGCGGCGGCG